CCCCTCATCTCTTTTTGGCTTTTCTCTTTTTTTTTTCCTTCTTTTTCATAGAAAGAATCGTTGACTTTTCAACTACTACCATTTCCTTTATTCTTTCGGTGTACGCTTGAAATTTATCGATTCGTAGTCTTCGTTTCGTAGGCCAACGATGTGGAATTATGCCAGCGTGGATAGTCGTCACGAGATTCTTGTTTTCTCATCATCTTCACCTTCTCGTCGGTTTGTCCTTCCCCGATGGATAATATCCCTTCCTCGCCATTGTTCGCTCCCATGAATCCACGGTCTCTGTACGATCCTCAGCTACTGAATCATCACGCGGCGACGATGAGTGAAGCAGAAGCAGCAATTGAACAAAGTGAACGGGCTCGGAGGCGAAAATAACTTTGTCATCGTAGTTGCACGCGCAAATCTCCTATTTTTTTCTTTTTTCGTTTTTTTTTTTTTTTTTTGGTTTTTTTTTTCTCTCTACACCGGTACAAAACGTCTAAGCGAGCTAACCACGAGGAAACGCCGCCCCTCGTTCCCATCGTGCGGACAACAACGGAGGGGCGAAATTAATTATAAAATACCTTCGCTTCGATTTCGAGTACCGTCAATCGTTTTCTACCGTCCCCTATTTAAACTGTCGTCACGTATTCCCGCAATTCGGGCGCCTCGGCGTCCAAGCTGTCGTTAGCAAACCACGGGTCCTCGTATTTCGGCGCCTCTTCGCTGCGAGCTCTGTGAGGAGCACGTGCCCGTTCACGAGCACGCATGCGGGGCACCTCCTCGCTTAACGATCTCTTGGTGATCCCCATCGTCACGGGGACCTCTAACAATGCCTTCGATCTCGTCAACTGCGGCCTCTGTCGGCCCTTTGCTTCCTCGCTAGCCGCGCGGACGATCACGGTAGGCGGCGCCAGTCTGTCGCCCTCGCTATCGGGATGGACACTCTCTGACCTAGCTCTCATGGCTTTTTTTTTCGACAAGCCGCGGCTCTTCACGATGCTCTTCCTCTGAACAGGCTGCGGAGAATACTGCTGTTGCTGCGATCGCTGTCTCTTCACGGGAGTGGTAGGAACCAGAGGCGACCAGATCGGCGGTGACAAGTCGACCGGAGACTGTATCTTCTTCGGTGGAGTTCGCTCCGGTGATTCGTCCTTCCAGGCGCCTTGATAGAGCGGAAACGCGGATACTTGGTTGAGAATCCGCCATCGGAAATCCTCGTCGTCGCTTTTGCACGGCGTCGCCTCCGGCGGTGGATGATGAGTGGGCGTTACGTTGTGAAAGGGCGACCAGGATTTCGGCTCCTCCGGCTCTTGAATCGCGAAGCTATCGCCACGATCAGCCGACGGTGAACCGTCGTAAGGTGTCCACTTGATCTCGCTGATGTGCTTTGGCTCCCGTTTCTTGATCCCGATCGTCGGCAGAGGCGACGCGTCCTCGTACGGTGCCCACTTGGCGTCCGTGATCGTAATCTCCGGAGAGATCAATCTTCGAACGACCCTGTTCTCCAGCTTGGTCATCTGTCGAGGATCCGGCTCCGGTGACATGCTCCTTCGAATGCTGTACTTGGGTCGTTCCTTCAAGCTCTTGCTCTTGAACCCCTCCGTGGAGTCTTGGCTCCTCCATTTCGACTCTTTCTTCTCGGGCAGAGAGAAATGCGGCTTCATCGCCCACTTGGGCCGAGGTTTCTTCACTTCGTCCGGGCTGGTCACCTTCTCCTTCGCGCCCCATTTCTTCGACGTTTGACTGTCGACTCTCGCATGGGATCGTTCCAGCTTCGGCCTCTCCCTGATCCTCTCTGTCCTCACTAGCCTTGTGTCCTCGCTGACGTGCTTCTTCAGTTCCGGTTTCTCCGGTGCTAACTGCGCGACCCGTTCTTCTTTACGTTCCACAGTCAGCGACGCAGAATGGTACAGCTTCCTCTCCGGCTCTTGTATCGTCGGTTTCTCCGGCTCTGGCGGCTCCTTCGGTTCCGAAGGCGGCGAAGGTGCCAAGATCTTCGACTTCGGACAGGTGCACCTCGGTTTTGGATTCGGCAACACATCCGGGACTTGCAGCCATCTGGCTTCTCTGGCCATTCTGGTGTCGTCGCTGCTGTGCTTCCTCAGATCGTGCATCGGCGTTTTCAAGTAATCCGGCTTGACCGACCATTTGTCCGTCTCTGCGCTATGGTGCTTCCTGAGATCGCCACGTTGGATGTCGTGCGGCTTCTTCTCCTCCGGTGTCAGACTGTGGCAGCTGCATCTGGTCTTCTTCGCTAGGTCCAGATCGGTGTTGGACGTGTGCAAAGCCCATCGAAACTCGGTCCCCTCGCTGGCGCGCTTCTTCAAATCCCAGATCGCGTCGTCCGGGGAGAAGAAACTGCCGTCGGCCCATCTCGGATCGACGCTGTGATATTTGCGTAGATCAGCGCGATCTCTGTCTGTCGTCGCGTCGACCGACGTGTCGCAACTGCAGATCCTCTGGGACGTTGGCGTTCTCTGGGACTCGAGAGGCGCTGGCTCGATCGCGTCCAGATCCTCGATGGTGTAAAAGATCTCTTCGCGCCGCCTCTGACCACAGGACGGACATCGTCCGCTCGGTTCCCCATCGTCGCGGCTAGGTCGATGATGATGATGATGATGCTGATGAGGTTGTCGATGCAACGTCGAGGTCGAGGTCGATGCGGAGGGGTCAAGCTGCGGGGGCAGCTCCTCGTCGTCGCGACGGCCGTCGTCAGAGTGTCGTGACGTCGCAGCCGTGCCTGTCGATGCGCACCAGCAAGTGTGTGTAGCTCCGTCAAGCCGCCTTGGTGGGTACCGCGACTCCGGAGACGACGAGGCTCCGCTCGAGGCCGGTACCAGGCAGACTACCCCGATCGCCAGTTCCGCAGGCCTGTGTTTCATTCATTTCAGTTTTACGTAGCTCAATTAAGATTCATATAATTACAATAATTTAGAAAATATAAATGTAGCAATAGAATTTGAAAAATGTTGAAAGTAGTAAATTTATCGGCGACGTCATCAACTTATTACAATCGTCGAGAAGTGTATTATAATAAGTTTAAATATACGTCGATTTCTGACGAAAGTAATAAGCCAGTCCTTGTAGTATTAATATATAACGTGTATCTGTTTAATTAACGTGTAAATAACAAAACAAAACTTGTCAATAATTTTTATATTGACTGTTTTGATGAATAGTTTTTGATGTCTCGGCAATAGATTTGAAGTCAACGAAGAGGTAAATTTTTGAGGATGAATTGATAAGGTGAATTGTAACGAACCTTCAGTTCAGTGAAGACCTCCGTGAAGAATCCAGGTTCGCTGTTAATCCGCAACATCTCGGAGCTCAGTCGATTGACGATCAACAGGCACCTATCCCAGAATTTGTCCTTGCTGTCCTCGATGAGGAACGGTTTCAACGGGTAGCTGATCTCGTTACCCATGTAGCTGTAGCTCAAATACAGGCACGTTAACACTGTCGCCTGGAGTTCCCTCTCGGAAGCCTCGTCTCCGTCCACCAGCTCTCTCACCAGCATATAAATGAACACAACGTTGGCGGGATTGATGAATGCGACATCCTGTTGAGAAATGCTTCACGTTAGTGCCAACGCTCAATCAGTTTTATTCATACACAATTACGAAATAAATTTCATCAAACGGAACATTATTTCATGGAAAAAATTGTGTCGGGAAACTGTCGAGTCTAGATCGAAAATTTGCAATCTCGTCTGAACTTTATTATATGATCCAATACTTATTTTCAAACTGTTGCAAGTAATTACACTGATTGTTTTAATTACTTGATTTTAGCTTGATACTTTTCACATCTTTACACGCTATTAGTATTACATGGACTTGATCTGTAAATAGGACAGTTTCTTCTCTCGTCAATTAGACTTTTTTTGGCAGCTCCCCAAGAGAAGATTATAGTTAACTCTCTACCGTACATATAATTTACATCTGCATTCTCGCGTATAAATTCCTTTACTCTAGCGATGATGTTGTAATAAATATTATTAAATATTATTGTTCTAAATATTCATTTATTTTATTATATCTATTCTTTTAATAAAAATTTTCTCGTACTGCCTCTACATTTTTTATCCTTACTGTTAATAATGAATTCGTGATAATTACATTGCAAGTTTTTGTGCACTTGTGGAAAATTTGGAAAGAGATGCAAAATCGCACAAGATGCACGTGGAAAAACATGTAAAATATCTAGCATAGTGCTTCCTGTAATAGTTGGTATGTAAAGTGATTTCTTACTACATTTTTAATTATATTCTCAACAAATTTACATAAAAAAACCGTTATCCAGTGACAATAATAATTAATATAACTGTAATCTCTGAGAAAGAAACGTTTATATATGTATTCCAATATATGCCAATATAAGAAGCATTTGAAGCCAATATTTGTCCTACACGTTGCTAAAATCATCCGCTGTTTGAGGATTAATAAAGTAGAAAACTTTGATTATCTAAACACATCGCGAAGAGTTCTAACTTTCTCCGTGTCCTAGTCTTATTTGTTCAGAATGACAGAAGATGATAGACGGGTAGAAGGATAACAGAGGAATTGCTCAATTCCTTATATTCGAAGCTCATCATCATTAACTGGCTTTCTACAAACAAAGCTCCACTGCATTATTTATTTTTCCCGGCTCTTGCATAGAAAAACCAGTGTTTATCCGAGTTATCGGAGGTGAAAGCATCGACCGAATGGGGATAATGGAACGAAATCGAATTCCTACGAGTACAGGGGGGGCTACAAGGATATTCGATGCATAGTCTAGCGCAGGGGAGCGCAACCCCCCGCGCGTTCAGGTGACGCGAAGAGCTTCTTCTTGGCCGACAGTGCGCAGACGATACTCGTACACCGTCGAAAAGGGATGATTCACGCGCAGTGTCGCATTACGTGCCATGCTTGCGAAATTGCAATCGGCATTGTGACACTCGACGCGGTCGATACTTCGATTCCAAAGGGTCTTCGTTTCATCGAGGCCTTCGCCGGCGAACAATATTTCGCGATTCGCTTATTGTTAACAAACGAAAAGCTATGACGCAGTGAACTACTGTAACGGAGGTGAACAAAATTCATTCTGCAGAAATGAATCTGCGTTTGGAGATTCCACGATGAATCTGCAGACTCTTGTGTTGAGACACGTATACATTTAGATAGAGTGTTACTACGAAATTGATGGGACCGAAGTTTGTTCTGATTTCATGGGTTCAATTTTCGGGACTCGAAAGAGGAATTTACAGCTGCATTCTCCAATTCGCTTATTGTCGTAGAAACAGAAAGTTTCTATCTTTCTGCTCTATGTATTTTATCGAAATTTCCCAATCTGTATTTCCAGATAGGGAAATAGATTGGAAGATGCGTATTTAGATAGAGTGTTACTATGAATTGGATGGGAACGAAGTTTATTCTGTATGACGAGGTTAATTTTGGGTGTTCAAAGATGAATCTACAATCTTTGTGCATTACGTGACAAAATTGTGTTTATTGGAGTAAATATTAAGCGGAGGAAAGTGAAGTTTATTCTATACGATGAGGTTCGATTTAGGACGTGAAATATAAATCCATAATCTCTGCGCACATCATACAACAATATTTCACTTTTATGAAAAAGAAAATTTTAACAAAAAGGCAGAAATTAAGTTTAATTAAGATTAATATTATATTAATAAGTATAATATTATATTAATAAGATTAATATTATAGGTTAGTGTTAATATTATATTAATAAGATTAATATTATAGATTATTGCTAATATAATATTAATAAGATTAATATTATAGATTATTGTTAATATAATATTAATAAGATTAATATTATAGATTATTGTTAATATTAACAATAATCTTATTAATCTTATTAATATTAATAAGATTAATATAATATTATATCAATAAGTATAATATTAAGATTAATTAAGATTAATATTATATTATTTTATATAAGTAAAACATTTAATAATATCTAACTCTTGTTGATTTGATCGAATTAGATTTTGATAATTCACAAAGGGTTTCTCTTCTGCTTTATTTGTGAACATTAGCAAGAATATCTTTTCGATTCTCGAATTTTTATTATTATTGCACGACTGGAATAACTCTGTACTGGAAATTGCTACTGTGCATGTTACTTTTGTACGTAGCAAGCAGATGTACCGCCCGTTCTCATAAACACGTTGCAGTAAAGATAGGTGTGCCAATACCTCTTTGACACTCTCTAAGACACAAGACAATTTACCTACATGCATAAACGAAGGTGTTAATATCGCGTAATTAGAACCTACACGTCTATTTCAGTTCATAGCATGTTAAATGTTAGCGATCGCGGCGGAGCCGCTTTTATCAGCTGTCCTACACCAACGGCGGTCTCCTTGCTCTAGAAACCGAGTCCTCCGAGTCATTAGCGAATTAGGACGCGGCGCGTAGGTCGACCCGGCCCGAGAGTGCACAGGCAAAGTGCATTGGCTCGTCGAGTGCTCTAAAACTCACCGGCTGCTTGTCCGTTGGCTTTAACGCGTGTACAAAGGATCCCGACAATCGTGCAGCTGCATTCGTTTCACGTGCGCTCGTGTATACATCTAATTTGTAAATATGTGCGCAACCACACCGAGACACGCCTGTATATACGTATGTTTCCAATGGTGAATGGTGAAAATAGCGAGTGAATCACGTGCGATTAACGTTTCGTCGATACGTCCTTTACGTCAATATTATCGCCGTGTCCATAGGTATATACTTGACATGTGTATGTGGAGCGCGAAAGGGTATAAGAAAGCTAAAGCTAACAGGTGCATTCAGTCATAAACACCGCAACACATTTAATAGTATTATTTTCCACGATTCTTGCGAATCGGTATTATTTCGCGACTTCAGTTTCGATTCAGAGCTAACAATAAGCCTAAAATAGAACTAGTAGCGTGGTAGTTTGAATATAATTGCAGACTACATGAGTTATGGGGAATTATGGGGATCCGACTAAATTCTCTTCGCTCGCTTCTTCGACCTGCCTCCACTTCCAACTGCCGAAGAACATTAAAAATCGACTATTCCCTCGAGAACAGAACGAAAAAGAAAAAAAAAAAAAACCAAATTTCGCGTCCCTTCATTTCCCTTCGATCATCCCTCCCTGATAGCATCATAATTATTGGAACATCCTGCAGACGCATGTGCATCTGTCTCACACACCGATTGCCGATTTCATATTCAAAGCGGAACGAGTCTTTGACCCTTGGAGCAATCCGCCGCCGCACCCTTGAGTCGTCCACCAATTACAACGAATGCTTTGTGATAATTAAAACGTACGGCGGTGATCACAGGCGGGGCGGCTCTTTCGATCGGCGAGGGTTCAACGCCGTGCAGAGAGGCGGTTTTCTTGCACATGTGGATGCACCGATGACGGTGAGGCCCCGCGGTGACCTGGCAGGATCGATGCTCCCGATACTATACGCGTTTCCTCTTGGCTGGCAGCGATTTTGCGTTATCGCTCGGCCGCCGATTGTTGCACCATCGCTAAGCATCGTCGTTTCTTGTACAAGCACGTTGCAAACGCGCGCGTTACACGGCTCAATGCCAACAGTCGGATGTAACCCGATGTGAATTTTGTTCGAGCGATGCGAAAATTTTTGCGGAAATGTTTGTGTGAATTGTACTGTATAAATTTAAATAGATAATTTTGTTAGATTCTAGATAACGCTTTTGAGAATCTTAGCAGGTGGTTTCGTTCGACAATTATGCGAAGGTTGTTTGAAAATTCTAGGTAAATTAATTTTTTTGCAGGGGAAAAAATTAAGTTTTTACTTTTCGTCTTGGTACCAAATTTTTTTAGTTCTTTAATCGTCCAGTCGTGTAGCACTGGGAAATATTTAATGTAAACTTTATTATTCAATGCATATATTTTCCCTGGAATGTAAAGAACGAAATGCGAATATTTTCATCACATTGGAAAACAAAAGACAATCGAAAGTTGTTAACTCTGGAGTCTAAAGGGGATAAGCAACAATTTCGCAACGTAATTCCTCTTTAGTCTAGTTAGTTTTTACATCTCGGTCATATAGTACGAAAAATATGTTTTCGTTTTGGCAAATCACTTTGTTATTCGATGTAAATATTTCCCCTGGGAATGCAAATAATGAAATGCAGATATTTCCGTTGCATCAGAAAGCAAAAATAATCGAAAGATGTCAAGTCGAGGAGCAATTTCGTCAATTTTGGAAGGAAAAAAACTTTACGTCCACAGTGACGAAGCTCATTACCGAAAGAAATACTTATTAACAGAGACTTGAATAAGTGAAAATTCCTCGAATCGTAACAGTTGGATCGTACAAAGTGTCGTGACGATGTTGTGCTGCACGTCACAAAGGAGGAAAAGAAGAAGATTCGCGCCAGTGGTGAAAAGAAAGTAAAGAGCCGGTGGAAGTCAGCAAAGGAAAGGAAAAGGAGCCGATATCTATATCTAGCAGGTAAACCACTCTAAAGAGTAGAAGGTTCGCCGCGCGAACTTGTGCAAAAAAAAAAAAAAAGAGAAGAAGAAGAAGAAGAAGGGCAAGTTACAAAA